TGCGTGACGACCACCGCCCTTTGAAAGTATAATGTTGAAAAGTAAAACTATTTAATGACATTAAGAAATAAGATTGCTGAGTAGCATATACAATATATGTAATTAAAGTTTAGTAAGAGTGTTTACGCAATGGGTTTATATAGTAAGTAAGGCTGGATTCTAATGTCTGAAGGAGGATGACAACGACGCCTACGTGTCCGAATGTCTGCGCGCAGTAGTTATAGTAGTTGCGAGAAGAATCGAACTTTGTTCGCTTTCTCCGTGATTTTAAAGAATAAATCATAATTCTGCCCACGGAACTCTTTGTTTATCGGCGATGTAACGACATTTCTATCATTGAATGCCGAATATCGAAGAAAGGCGACGTCTTCAATTACGTCATTATAATCTCAGAAGCATTCGAGCACCTATCAGCCTACATCTCTCGAAATACATTAGCAATAATACGATATGTCGTGAATGAGATGAAAAAACAGACCGCGAATCAATTCCGGGGGCCTAGAATGTTAAGAAAACGTCTGTGTATAGGGTTGCCATGACTACACAACGTCCCTAAAATGCAGAGAAAGGATTGTACAACTGTATTCTGTATTTCACTGAGCCCGAACATAAACGAGGCTTACATAGAAAGCAGCTATACACCCGGGCTATACACACGTCGTTTGTACTGTTACGACAAAACTAGGTCTCGAAGCCGCTGAAAAGGAGGTCACGATTGCGCGGAAACACAGTCCCTCTATCACACGAATGTGACTTGCGTTCACTATCTTGTTTAACTTTTGGTGTTTTTTTTCAATAAAATAAAATATGGGAGTGTTTACATGTTTATTTCGCGGTAACTCGGTATGGGTAAATGTACTTGAGAAGTATTTTATATTTCAGCTTTAATATAATTTTAAAATGAAATATTATTTGAAAATATACCTTTTCAGTTTGTGGCTGTGCATTGAAGTCAATAATATAATTTGTCACATCCCATGCGGCACAGTCGAATACTAGCCTGACAAGATCGCGTGAGTTGCGCCCTCTGCGGTGCTGAAACCCACGCCTAAATGTCAGGCTAAATCGAATGTATGAACTCATGTCGAGCAGGATATGTTAAAGCAGGCGGTGTTGTTTCCATAATGTATTCACCCGGCATATTCGTTTTGTGCTGTTTCATCGTTCACGCATTTATAATACTACTTACTTGACCGTCATCCATGTCTTTGATATGTCAAATGTGTTCATATCGCTAACAACATGGTAACGACGTTTATTTGTGTGTCACGTGATACACCACTGCGATAAAGACTTTCTGTTAACTATCTAATTATAGGGGATGTATCGGTTACGTTGTCATTACTACAGTAACTGTATTAAATATATATAATAGGCCAAGGGTCTTTCACTGAAATATATTATTATTATTATTAATATTATTATTATTATTATTATTATTATTATTATTAGGGTTTCGAGCCCATTTGGTCGAAACCCTTTTGTAATTGTTCCGTTTATTATTATTAGGGTTTCGAGCCCATTTGGTCGAAACCCTTTTGTAATTGTTCCGTTTATTATTATTATTATTATTATTAGGGTTTCGAGCCCATTTGGTCGAAACCCTTTTGTAATTGTTCCGTTTATTATTATTAGGGTTTCGAGCCCATTTGGTCGAAACCCTTTTGTAATTGTTCCGTTTATTATTATTATTAGGGTTTCGAGCCCATTTGGTCGAAACCCTTTTGTAATTGTTCCGTTTATTATTAGGGTTTCGAGCCCATTTGGTCGAAACCCTTTTGTAATTGTTCCGTTTATTAGGGTTTCGAGCCCATTTGGTCGAAACCCTTTTGTAATTGTTCCGTTTATTATTATTATTATTATTATTATTATTATTATTCTTCCGCCTAAATTTTTGGTCACGCTTTATGTCAACACCGTTGGACCGATCAGTTTCATACTTGCCACAATGGTAAAGCTGTATGAGATCTGGTGCATATCCTAAGTTCAGACACATAGGTCACATGACCAGGCCGCCATCTTGG